AACGATATCATTCCACAAGTTCCTCCAACGAATACAATAGCATTCCACAAGTGCACCTTTTAACGTCCTTAAAACTAGGCAAACTATTTAACCTTGGCATTCCACAAAGTGCTCTTTAACGCAAAGTATGCAAACTATTTAATGATAGCATTTCACAGATGCATCCTGAATCAATTGAAACCGTTGAAAACGATATATGGTGAACAAACAAGTTATACATTAACCCTTGAACAGCTCGATCCGGTTAGTATCGTAAGCGTTCTATATACACGTGTGTTTCACAGCTCTCACTAGTGACAAAAAAACATGCCTACAAGTTTGTTAGCTTATAAATGAATCCTTTTGTATATGTTTGTAATCTTCTGTCACTATTCAGATCTATGATAGGAGATAAAGGGTTAACTCTATGAAACGTGCTCATTCATGGAGTTTGGAATGTGTATTCAAATAAATGAATGAATGAATGAACGAGACGTTGCTTTGAAAAACTTGTCATGCTCGCTGAAGCATATACGCAGAGAATCAATGTTCCCGTACGCTCTCGAAATTGAACGCCAAAACGCAGAAACAGGAGAAGTAACGCGTTCGGTTTGGCCTCATAATGCATTAGCAGTTGCGTTCGAGCGAATATTTTCGGTTCATGGTCTATGAAATGGAATTGTAATGCATAAATAACATCGCATCATAGCAAAGTTCAACACCTTTAAGTGTGATGGTACATTTTGCCCTCGCATGTAAGACATATTACTCAAAGTAAAACAAATAAATGAATAAAACTTACCTAAAATTCGAACAAAAACGGGTTTGCATACACACTCTGCCGTTTTCATATCAGTGATGCTTTCTTTTTTATATAAAACTAATTCCAGTGTTAGTCTTTCCAGTTTCACTGAACATTCGGTCTTTAAACACAATTTTCACATCACTTTTCAGGACAGGTTTCACATTCACATTACAGTTTTAGATTGGTACAATATTTCCATTGGAATAAATCAACAGGTGGTGTTCACCACCACCTTCATTCCTGACACACCCATGTGCCAAAAGACATCCTGGCACCTATTCATGCGACGTAGTCATCTGACCAATTGATCATTTCTTTCCGATTCAATGCTGTCACGTTACGATCCATGGAATGTGCTGACTCACTCCATCTTTTTCAGTTCAATGCTGCCACGTTGCGATTCATGGAATGTGCTGACTCTCTCCATCTTTTTTAGAATCTTATGTAAAATGTAGACAAATAAAATCCGACTCGGAGGAGTTTCTCACGATACTGCAATGACATGGCACTTTACAGAACTCATTATCCCTTACAGACACCGCTAGTACTTAGTGAAAAGAATTTCAATGATATTGCGAAAATATTTCATCTATAAAAAGATCTGACTGTCCTATCATTCACTCACATCACACGACATCAGGCAAGCATACACATTCGTGAAAAGCCTAGCCTTGTCTTCTGTCACATCGAGGATTCATCCGTTCTTGCATACAACAGAACGGTAAGCATTTTTACTGACTTTATTGATCAGTTTTGTCTGTTCTTTTTTAAGTATAAGCTCGTGTTGCATGCGATATTATTCATTATTTGCAAATGATAATTCTATAACTTCCTGTATTACCTTGATCGTTTATGGGAAGAGTAAGACAAACACTATGCCCAATATAAATGAGCGTTATGCTGAGCATGAGACTTTTTATTAATTTTTTCCTCTCTCTACAGATCGTCAAGGGGTGTAACTTAGTCATTGATGAATAACCAATGGTTCCACACATTGTGTTTAGCCTAACAGTAGTGAGCCATGAGTAATTTCAGCACCTGCCCGGTGTTTGTTTGTGATCATTGTCACCAAACCTTTAGCCTTAAACATAATTTACTACGCCACCAAAGACATTGTGGTAGAGTAGGCACTTTATATTCTTGTCCATTGTGTCAGAAGACTTTCAACCGAAAAGATAATTTGAATCAGCATGCCAAATCTTGTCAGCAAAAAAGTGGTCTATTGTCGTCAATGTCTGCATTGTTTTCAACATTTTCAAAATGATCCCGATTATCAAAACCATCACTGTGCATCAAAGAGAGCTACTGGTCTCACTTGTCAAACATGTCACCAATCCTTTCCTACCTCAAAAGCATTAAGACTGCACAAAAGTCAATCAGGTCATGATATGATAGGACATGGTAAAGGCAGGGCTAAGAAAGCTAAAATGGCTACAGTGTCAGTGCCACCCCCCCCGATTCACCTCCTGTTTCCAATGCTCCTCCCGCTTCGTCCCGCCATCCTAGTCAACCCAAAGATCATTCAAAGCCATGTTCTAGTCAGGCTTTACATGGTGATGTTAGAGAGTATGATTTTGAAGGACAAACATCTACTGACGCATTAGAATTTCTAGTCCGAGAACAGAGTAATGTCATTTCAACCCTTGAGTCAGAAATAGGTGAGAAAAAGGCAATTAAATGGGCTTTATGTTTGCACATTAAAATGGAGAAACCAAGCGAAGATACTCATTCAAATTATCACGAGGCCTACTTTAGGAGCAGCATGCAGATAGCCATGGAAGGTAGTGATTTGATTGAACAATATTTGGAAGCCATCAACCAAATGCTCCAAACACTAGATGACTATGAAGGAGTTCATTCAGGATTAAATGTTTCTGACATTGTCCTTTTTGAAAATGACTGTGGTGAAGTTCGCTCCATTGAACGGTGGTACTTACATTCCACTTCCTCCAGCCCTGGCTAAACATGCACGCTGTATTTTAAATATTCAAAACAAAGACAATGATTTATGTTTTGCTCTCTCCATTCTTGCCAAATTGTACCCACCCTCGTCAAACAAGGAAAGAGAAACACATTACCTCCCCTATTTGAATAGGCTTAATTTAGAAGGGTTTTCTTTTCCTATGACATTGAAACACATTCCTCGTTTTGAACAGCTTAACCAGTTGAGCATCAATGTGTACGGTTTTGAAGATGGTACCTTGTACCCTATGTACATCAGTAATGAGTCGAACGTGGAGGAAAATAGGTGTGTAGATTTATTGTTATTGTCACAAGAAAGTCAACCAGATGATTTTGAGGGAGTCTTGGGGTTAGAGGATCATGAGGAAGCCATGGACATAGACAAGGTACCCAACACACATTATTGTCTCATTACCAACTTGAACAGATTAGTGAGAAACAGAAAAGGTAACACAAACATGTGTTTTGTTTGTAGAAAATGCTTGTGGTCTTACTCATCTCAGGAAAGGTTGGAAGCTCACAAACACTATTGTTTTAAGAAAGCGCAAAGAGTCATTTTACCTAAACCAGAGGAAGCAGTGTATGAATTCGGTTTAAGATCACAAAGCAAAACTGAAAGAGCCAAGTTTTTGATTGTAGCCGATTTTGAAAGCTTGTTAGTGACTGAAGATGATGATTCTTCACGTTTAAACCGTCATGTCCCATGCGGCTATGCCTACAAGGTGGTGTGTACCGATGAACAGTATTCCAAACCCATTCAAACCTATATAGGTGAAAACGCAGCAGAACATTTCATCAACAGCATTTTGGAAGAATATGATGCCATCATGAGCCTGTTTAATTCTGTCAAACCCATGCAACTCACTAACCAAGATAAAATTGTCATTGCTACTACAGAACATTGTGGGTTGTGTGGAAAGCTCTTAGGAACAGATAGAGTATTGGATCATGACCACTTGTCGGGGAAGTTCCGTCAAGTCTTGCATAACAAATGCAATCTTAACTTTCAACTAAGAAAAAAGGTGATTGTGATGTTTCACAATCTAGAACATTATGATGCTCATCTTTTGTTAGAAGTAGCACAACAGTTTGGTGATCGTGAGATCACAGTGATACCTCATACCACTGAGCAATTTCTGTCCTTCACAGTAGACCGTAGATTAGTGTTTTTGGATTCCTACAAATTTTTACAAAGTTCTTTGGATGCACTGACACAAAATCTGTTGAAAAAAGGTGCGGATTCTTTTGTATATTTGAAAGAACAATTTCCTCAGCATGTAGATTTGTTAACACGAAAACTACCATTTCCCTATGAACATATGGATTCCTGGGAAACGCTAAGCGAGACATGTTTGCCTTCAAAGGAAGCATTCTACAGTTCATTGACTGAGCAGGGTGTTAGTGAGGATGACTATATGATTTGCCCATCAGTTATGGCAAACATTTCAATGCCAATCCATGAGCGACTTCATGAGATTGTATGTGACAGTAGATGTGTTGCTGTTAACTGATGTTATTGAAACCTTTAGAACTGGTTGTTTAGCTGACTATGGACTTGACATTTGTCACTACTATTCCATGCCTGGTTTCTGTTTGATGCTGCTATGAAAATCACAGGGGCTAAATTGGACCTATTCACAGATGTAGACACTTACAATTTTATTGAACATTCTATTCGTGGTGGCGTGTCTGTCATTGGTAAAAAATATGCAGAAAGCAACAATGAACATATGAGTGATTTTGCTCCAGAGAAAGACACGTCCACTCTACTCTACTTTGATGTGAACTCACTGTATGCTACTGTCATGTTACAACCGCTTCCTATAGGAAATTATCATTTCATTGAACCTGCAGAGTTCACCACCATAGACTGGACAAGCATCGAGGTAGGGGGAGAGTATGGGTACATTCTGGAAGTGGATTTGTTATATCCCAGTCATTTGCACCAAGTTCATGCTGCTTTCCCTATGGCTCCAACGCATGATGATATCCCATTTGACGAGTTATCCCCTACACACAAAGAGCTTTCGCTCATTTTAACAATCGCCTCATAGATAAACTTCCAAAGAAATCATCCGGTAGAAAACTTTTTTGTACCTTGAAAGATCGTTCACATTATGTGGTTCATTTTAAAACTTTGCAGTTGTATTTGAAACATGGTTTAGTGTTGAATCGCATACACAGAGTGCTGAAGTTTAGCCAGGGTCCATGGTTAAAATCCTATGTGGAACTCAACTTGAAAAATCGCAAAATGCAAAGGATGATTGTGACAAAGACCGTTACAAATTGATGAACAACTGTGTGTTTGGTCGTTTCTGTATGAATAAACGCAAACACATAAGTGTACACTTAGTGACACAGAGACCCAAACTTCAAAAACTGGCCTCAAAAACCAATTTCAAACAGGTTAAAATTTATTCAGAAGACGTGGTTTCTGTTGAATTGGAAAATTTAAGTGTGCATTTAGATCAACCCATTGCTGTCGGTTTTAGCATTTTGGATTTGGCTAAATATGAAATTTATGACTTTTACTACAATGTGATGCAAAAGGAATATGGACATGAACATTTAGATTTGCTCATGACGGACACTGACAGTCTCTTTATGCAAGTCCATGCTCCTCCACATAAACCCCTCCTGGACCCCTATGTGTTTATGAAACAGAATCTCCATTTATTTGACACTTCCAATTATGCTCCCAATGACCCAAAGGATCTCTATTCCGATCAAAACAGGAAGGTGACAGGCAAGATGAAGGATGAAGCAGGTGGAAACATCATACTTGAATTCTGTGGACTAAAAAGTAAAATGTATTCCTTCTTGATGAAAACGGATAAGGAACTTATTGAGAAAAAGACAGCCAAAGGTATTAAAAAAACAGTGATCAAGAAATTTCTCAGACATAAGATGTTTAAAGAGTGTCTTTTTGACAAAACAGCTGTGTCATGTTCTTTTCATCTCATTCGCTCTTTCAATAACGTCTTGTACACACAGAAACAAAACAAAGTGGCTCTGACCTCCATAGACAACAAGCGTTATGTACTAGAGGATGGCATTCATAGTGTACCTTATGGTTATTCATCAACTGAATAGTTACAACATCTGCAAGAAAATCTTCAAAACAAAGTGGCTTTGACCTCTATAGACAACAAGCGTTATGTGCTAGAGGATGGCATTCATAGTGTACCTTATGGTTATTCATCAACTGAATAGTTACAACATCTGCACGAAATATGGAATTTTACAAGTCCAAACAGGTAAGCTATATGATTATTATGAAATTTTTTTTTTTTTTAATTGAAATTTAGAATCGTATTGAAATTTAGAATGTATAGTCATGTCATTATGTTTGTATTTTATAATACTAGACGTGTTTGATTTATTTATTTTCTATTTATTTTACAGGATGAGCAAACCAGCCTACATGTGTACAAGCTGCGATGGTTTTCTACCTGTTGACGCAAATGGTGAAGACCGATCGGGTCTCTTTACCTGCGTCTACTGTGGTACCAAATTAAAATATACGTATCATAGGTTCCTGAACCCTACTGGCAAATGTGTGGTCAGGAAGGCAAAACTGAACACAGCTCATGCCTGCACTTGTCGGAAGATTCATCATAATGACTACCAGAAGTCAAACTTGCTCTGGCTGAATGTATCCTATGTTTCACTGCAAGAGCAAAACATGAACACTATGAGAGGCTACTTCAAGACTACAAAGTGAACACTATGTGTGACTGCTTCAAGACTACAAAGTGAACACTATGTGTGACTACTTCAAGACCACAAGGAGAACAAACGTAACAATCACAATTGTGCTCACATTGTTTATTGTCACAAACTATACATAGAGTGTGTGGTTTCAATAAAACGATTCTAGTGTTCCTGATGACCTGAACCCAGGAACACCTTTGGCTGCTTTACGTTTAACAAATAAAACATTTCTATGTATCTGTGTTTTGTCTTTCTTTTTTTCTTCCAATACGTTTCATGAAATGTTTGGGCAAATGTAAACGCTTTAATAGTTTAAGAAACTGTTTATAGCCCACTGGTGAACGCCTACTTCGCGGTGACAGGATAAAAAAACGAATCAAGTTGACAATGTTTGAGTTTTGCAGCACATTATTTTTGTTTCCTACAAGTTGTAAATGCTCATCTACACGTAATTGTCCTTTTTTAATGTTGTTTTTCACAAATAACCACATTGACATCAATTTCCCAATGGTTTTGGTAGAAGTAATGTCCTTGATTAACTGGTCGGGAACTTGAAACAGGAGTTCAGTCTTCTTGTTGCATACAGGATTATCAGCGGGTTGTTCCGAGTTAGCTATCCCTTGTGAATCACCATCAACTATCTCATTCACTTTCTGTGGCTGAGCTGTCTGATGAGCTGCCTGATGAGCTGCCTGATGAGCTGTCTGTTCTTCTTCTTGTTTGGACATCAATCTCTGATAATTCTCTCTCGTCAGAAGAATCATGGGCTTGCTCATTTTGTACTGAGGACAAGTAGGCTTGGTAGTTCCTTATGCAAATAGGTAAAATTGAATGGCAGGCAGCGATGTGCTCACGTTTCCTGTGTCTGCTCACACTCTTACTGGCCAAGATTCGAATGACAGACTTATGACGAGACAGACGGTTTTTTATCACCTTCTGTTAGTGGTATCTTTCCAACAAGGATATTATACACTAGTGTAATCACTGACTTAAACTGTTCAGATGAAGCATGCGTCAGCATAGCTTTTCTCTGTGCAGAATTAGCTTGTTCTAACATCATAAGAAAAGCCCAATGCTTTTGCAGCAGACCACTCATGTTGATGTTGTAGGGTAGCTGTTCCACGTTCAAAGACAGCTGACTGTAGAGTGAGTGAAGTGAAGTGAAGTGAACTGACTGTTATATAGATGGTTGTCAGGTTTGAAAAACTATGGTGATTAATATATTCAAAGTTGTATGTGTTCTAACCTTCCTTGTTGGTTTTGGGTTCAGACACCATGTGGATATAAGCACAATGTGGAGATAGTCTAAAATGCTCTGCTAATGGATCATCTTCGGCTATCCATGAATGTACTCTCAGTGCGCATTGGAAACAGTAGACTTTGTCAGATTGACCCGTATAGATAAATCCTGCTTCTGCCATGAGCTTTGGGGGTTGCTTCATTTGTACAGGCCAACTGTTGAAAGACTTCAGTCTGTCACTAAACTTTTGCCCAAACGTAATATTATTGCATGGTATTTCAATACAGTCTGCCACGAGGTTATCAAATGGTCCACACACATCCATGGCTCTGTTCAATATGAAAGTGAAAAGGATGAGACGTGGTTGTATATTACCTTAGTTATGTCAAAACGCTCTCGTGTCTCTATATCCGTGACAGATACACTGTGCACACCTCATCAGAGAATATACCTGTACGCAAACGTCCATACTGTTCATCCCGCATAGGTGAGGTATCCATGACCAGATAACCGTATTTCTTTCTACTTACAGCATCTTGAAAAGATTCGGTGAAATATTTAGCCTGTCCTGGAAATATTTGCGATGCTAAAATTTTATACTCATGTGCCGAACGAGGGTTAGACAATAACACAAAATAATGTGTGTTCAGTGACATAGTTCTGTTACATTCTCCCTTTGGATACGCTGATTGTAGGATGTTGATAACAGAAATTCCTAGATGGTGGGATAATGTGGTATATAGGTGTAAAAACAGCTGACTTTTGCACACTTGTTGCATGAAGTCATCTACTACCAGCAGACAATGTTTATCTGATTCTAGAGAATATGAATTTAACTCCTGTTCTGTGGGGAGGACATCTTGAAAACGAATATTGGGAATGATTGTCTTGAGCTCACTATAGACATCTTGCCACACAGCATAGCAGTAAATAATCAATTTGGGTGCAGGATCAAACATGATATTGGCTTGTCTTAACAGACGTGAAACCCAAAAGGTTTTACCACTTGATGATCCGCCTATCACGGATATGGTTGTAGGCGTTTTAAAAGGTAACAGACAAGCACTTTCATCCATGATGTATCTTGGTCTGCTGTTCAGTATGAAACTGAACTTACTCACAAGCATGGAGGGTATTTATACATAACAAAACATCATTTTGAACTAAATCTATTTTTATTTTTTATTTTTTATACACATGGTAAAACATTGTACATCATTGTCAATTAAAAACAAGAAGGGGTACAGTATTTGAAATAGTTGCATATATACTGAGATACAAAAGTATCATTCCATAGGAAGTTCCTTATGTCAAACTGATGAACAATACGATGAAAACTCCAGTGAGGTTTCAATGTACATAACAGATAATACAAACAATAGAACCCACACACATTTGAATCTAAAGATTGTATCCGTTTACTGTTGTGCAAGTATGATTGAACATAGGATTTTAGGTAACTATCAAATACAGCATCAATGGGTTCTGATAGGCTGTCAAACAATTCTGCTCTCTTTCCTTTGAAATACATAGCAACCCAGTGACGTCCTTTCTTTTTGACTACAGTCTGTATTTACAATAAGTCCAACCCCTCTTCTTATCATAGAAGATGTGAGTACAGGCAAAGTATCTTTAGCATACACTCCCAGGACATGACTCTGTAAGACAGGATCACACTGAATGGTACACTTCAATTCAGAAGCTTTCATGTTTACTTGATGTACACATTCCCGCGCTTTATCAATTTCTATGATGGAATTTCTTTCACTCATGATAACACAACTCAATGTCTTAGTCAAAGCAGATTTGAATTCAATTTCAAGTCTCACATTTCCTGATTTCACAAGATTGAGGTAATCAGTATCTACTTCATCCAGTTGGTAAACAAAAAGAGCGCTGCCAAGCAAAAAGTCGTTTCTTGAAATACCATTTCCCTGGTTTTGACACCAAAGTTTCTTGCTATCAAACAGGTTGAGATAGGTGTCTACATCGTCTACACTTGTAGCTCTTCCTGGGACACTGACACCATTCACATACAGGTTGATCGTTTTAATCATGCTCGATTGAAAATTGAAAGGATTCCCATCATATTTCCCATTAAAGCTGCTACTATCTACAAAGCCTATGATATAACGATTAGCAATGGGATTGGAGACATTGTCAATGGTATGTGTTAACTGAGAGACAGGAATGCTAGTGACCTTCACCTCAGATTTGATGAAAGGATAGAGAGCATTAGAGTTGTTCTCAAACAAGGTATTGTGAGCTATAATCAGGGCTGGGTTGACATTCAGTCTGCAGACTTTGAGATAAGCATCCAATAGTGTTATAGTGAATTTTTTGTTGGCAACACCACTCATGAGACAGAAGGTAGGAGAGGATCTGTACAATTTCATAGTCATAGGTACACCATTAATCATGTATCTATCCATCTCAAACACATCTTCAAATAAGTTTCCAGACATAGTCATCTCTTGACTCAATGCAATGAACTGTCCTCGTCTCATCAAGCCTGTGTTGCTTCCCGTTTCTGTATCTGTTGATTCTATATCACTGTTCGATTCTCCTACATCTTTGTAGAACAACTGAGAGGTTAACTGTGTAGTCTTTGCATCAGCTCCAAAATTCAGTAAGGCTTTCATCATGCTCTTGTAAGCATAATGATTGTTTGTGGAAGAGACCAGCGTGTCATTCAAATAAACGGATAGTTGACTAAAAAGCGACTGAAGAAACAGGTTGACTGGGGCGACATGTTCTTTGGGAAGCAAGGTGCTCCCATCATTGTGAGTGACCTTGAGTTTCACGTGCAATCTTGTCCTCTTCAAATCAAGGTAGTCACTACCTGTGTTAGAAATACTGAATTCCAAAGGCGCCTCGTCGTTGATTTGACTCACTGGACGTACATTTTCATAGTAATGTTGTTGAATACATGTCTGAAATGGGGGGTAGTGTGAATAAATTTAAAGACTCGGGAACAATCTCTTGAAAATTTTTACTGGTGAGCAGCGACATGGTGTTAACTAAAGATATCCTTTTCTTTCACTGGAGTGTACTTGAGCACACGAGCTGTCTTGGAGGGGATGTTGCTTGTTGGACGTATCCTCTTGGTTGTGACCACCTGTTCACCTGCAGCTCTTTTTAATGATTTCTGTCTCTTCTCTTTAGCATCTGCTCTTTCCACCACACTTTGAGGTTCAGAAGTCACCTGCAGTTTGACTTGAACTTCTTTTGATGCTTCCTCAGGTTGATGAGATGTAATGAGCTTAGGTCGCGGGTTTCCATTCACCAATTGAGAACTACCTGTCATGTGTTTCTTGAAAAAAAATTCTGCCATTTGTTGTAATCGGGCACATACAGAGGTAAAGACTCCATATTAACCAGCAAAAGGGTAACGTCTGAAGTGAAGTGTTAGGTGAGTCTCTTCTTTCAAGAATGATAGTGGAGTTCCATCACTTGCTTTTATACTAATTTCAATGTCTGGAGATTCTTTCACCATCACATGGATATTGTATTCATTAGCAAATTTAAAGTTAGGCCCCTCCCTCAGGTCTAAACGTCTCAACAATGGTAATTGAGTGTGTCCTACCAATGAACTATCACATAAGTTACACAACACATCTACATAAGGGTCATTCATATGAGTGAGATCTACCTTTCCAAAGTTTAATTCTGTCAAGCTGACTATCCAGAAGCCATCAAACATCAATCTTTGATTCAGTTTCACACGAAAATGGTATGGGGTGTTCCCTTTGAAGTAATCTTTCTTTGAGTCTGTACACTTCAGAAACACATATTTCTCCATTACAAATTTTTCAATTGACTTTCCTCCACATAAGAATCAAAGGATTTGGGCCAACCTAACCATCGAACCAAAGCATAAGTCTTTCCATTCATACGTTTCTTCTTTAAGATCTTTTCCACCTGCCACTCAATATCCTCTCCTTTATTGACCTTCTGCAATTCACCAGTATAAAAAGTACCTTTGATCATTTCATCA